GGAAGTCAACGGTCAACACCGGAGTCAACGCCGGAAGTCAACGGTCAACGTCGAAAGTCAACGATTTTTCACCGGAAGTCAACGGTCAACGCCGGAAGTCAACGGTCAACGTCGGAGTCAACTAATAATTATTTTATTATTTAATTAATATATATTTTAAGGAGTGAACTCATTTTAAGGAGTGTACTCATTTTAAGGAGTGGACTCGTTGGATCCTCCCCCTATATATATATATATATATATATATATATATATATATATATTCAAGTTGTATTTATATATCATATGATATCTTAGGTTAGATAGAATTTCATTTAATTAATAATTTATCATAAAATTATTGATTAAATACGTATTAAGTTGAAATATTACTTTACGAAAATTCTTGTATGAGACGAATTAGCGGATTGATCCGTCATAGTTTTTTGAATAAAAATATTTACGTAGCAATAAAATATCATACTTTTATTTTTTATTTTTTAAAGTATGACAATTCAATTTGAGTGTAGTATATTGGAAATGTATGAATGTTTAATCGTTAGGTCCGCTTACTTTACTTATATATTTACTTTTTTTTATTATGTTGTATTTTCTTATAGATATGAAAAACTATTAAAAATAGACACATATGTCATGGTATCTATAGTAATTTTGTTAACTTGTTTTTACATTTGTACACAACCTTTATTAGTTTCACACACAAACCACAACAAAAGATTAAGAAATCTATTTATTTTTATATTATAATTACTTTTTTTTCTTGTATGTAATCGGTCAATTATTAATAATTACTTTCTTATAATAAATTTAATTAAAAAATTACATCATAACTATTTTATTAATCATTTTTAATAAATAAATAAGTTGAAAATTTTAAATTATTTATAATATTTTTTACCAAATTTTAAAAATCTTAGAAGTTAGATATATTCTTTTGAATAAAATTAATTCTTAAAACTTATGTGTAAGTCAAAATGTGAATTATTTCTTGCACCAACAACAACTAAAAATAACTACTTTTGAAGAATAACAATATTCGTCAAACACAAAAAGATCTTCAAAAACATAGATTTGAACTGAAATGATAATTCTCTTTTCCAAAAGCAACAAATGACCAAAATTTTAACTATGCAATAACTATCATAAAATGTTATTTTCTATTGATTTTATCAAGAGCATGTAAAAGGCGTAACAATTAATCTAGACTATTGCTCATCGTTCATAATACTTGACTCAAACTAAAATGATTGGTACATTCTCCACTCATAAAACTATGTCACTTTAAGATATATTTTTATTTATAATTACTTATTATTTTATTAGCATTTTCAAATTATATACATATGAATACTCTTAAAGTATAGCTAATTACTTTTAACTATATTTAATATATTTTCTCTAAAAGTATTAATTTATACACATTATAATTTAATGTGAACATATTTTGGTAATTCAAAATGTTCAATAATTAACTCTTATATGGATATAAATTATAATTGAGGTCAAGAAAATTATATATAAATAAAGTCCATGTTTTCAAAGAGCAAAACATATGATTATCTTACCCATATTGCTTACACTACAAAATAAATGTTATATTCCAACAGAAATTCCTATGGTAATATATTCCAATAGAAATTCCAACGGATATTCCAATAGAATAGCTTCCGTTGGAATAGTTTCAACATAAATTCCAACGGAAATATTCCGTTGGAATGTATTTTTCGTTGGAATTTTAGATGGAATTTGATGATTCCAACGACTTTCTTTCCAACAGTTTTTTACCGTAGGAATTTCTGTTGGAATATGCAAATTCCGTTGGAATTTTTTTTTTCACCCCGTTGGAAAATCCACCGTTGGAATTGTCAAAATCCAACGGAAATTCCAATGGAAAACCCATTCCAACGGAATATTTTCGTTGGAATTTCTGTTGGAATCCATTGAAAAATTCCAACGGAAATAATAGTATGAAATATCCGTTGGAATTGCCGTTGGAATAATTTTTTTGAAATATATTTCCGTTGGAATTTCATCATTTTCTTGTAGTGTTAATCTTGTATAGTCATCAAAAGATCTCACAAAATAATTATAAGTGATTACTTGCACTTTCATGTATCAAATTCACAGTTAAGGAGATTGAAAATCTAATCCCGCTGTAGATAGTTTGTACCCTCAAAGGGGCCACACACAGACCCCTCATCGCGGCAGAACATTAAATTAATAAATAAGAATAATTAATACAATGAGTTTAAATTAAAATTACAGGTATGCCATTATAAAAGTGATAAAGTAAGGGTATTTTAGGCATATTATATTTTTACAGATTCATTGGCACTTTTATAATAGTATAGATGAATAATATTAAAGATAGTGAGGTTGAGTTAAAGTTAAGTTAGATTTTGAGTTAAAATAAAAGTGAGTAAATTATTTTGTAAACAATCACCCCTTTAACCTCTTGTCCCACTAATTTTAAATGGACAAATCAAGAGAAAATGCTAAGGTCTCGTTACGGATCCATTTCGTCATAGTTTGTAATTGTTAGACCACCATATAACCGTTAGAAATAGTTGATCTAGCGGTCACAAAACCGACGAAATTGTTTAGTAAAAGGATTGCAGCATCTTCCCAAATTAAGAGGTTACACAATAATATTTAATAATCTTTTTTCGTCTTTCCTTTTCATTTATCCCGAAAACACTTGAAAACAAATTTGAACGTATCAATAAAAAATGTGATTTCATATAAGCGGGCCAACCGATGTTCAGATCTCACCCTTCTTGCTTTAGTTTTTCAAGGAAAATTAAACAATGTGTGGAAATAATTAAATAATAAACTGCAAATAAAAGCAGTATTTATTTAATAGTCCTTAATTAATGATAATCCCTATTTGAAAAGACTATTAGACAAGGGCAGTTGGGACCAATAGTTTATTTGTGAGGGCCTCTTTTTCATCATTTTTCACCCTTTCTTCATTACAATATATTGATTGCGGTGCTGCATGGGATTTGGTGTTCAATTGTAATAATAATAAGGTTCAAAATGTAATTATGAACTCTCCTTTTTACTTCTGAGTTAGGTCTGAATAAATAAAATGTTAGGGCATCTCCAATGGTAATAGTTATTACTAGTTATATGGTTAGCTGACGTGGATATGAGAAATAAGAAAAATAACTATTTTACATTATTGGACCTACATACCTCTCTCACATGATCTTGGGCTACGTGAAATAGATAAGCTATTTGTTAGTAGCTAGTGACTACTCTCTCTCTTACTTTTCCCCTGTCCACGTCATAATAGCTAGCCAAATAGCTAACCATTGGAGACACCCTTAGTAGTATTTCTTGGAAATTAATTACTGCTCTGAATTGCAAAATGTTGCACAAAAAACAATTTACCATCTAATAATAGGAGAGGTGTGATATCTTTTTGTGGTTTTTCCAGTTAAGTCCTCAAACTTCTTTTGATTTTTTTTTTTTATTCAATCCTTACTTAATTTTTTTCTTTCTCAACACTCTCTAATGCCCCATTTAACTTCATAACATTAAAAAAAAAAAATACAAAATCAACACTTATCAATATCGGTGCAAGGGTTTTGCCACTTCAATTTAACTCCATAACATTATATAATAACAACCTTTTACAAATTATTCTAGAATCTTCAGCTCGTTGGTGTGGCCCAACAATAAACTGAAGATTAGTGCACGGTTCTACAAATCGATGCACCGATTTACCATAAAATAAAGAGTGATATAATTACGAAAATACAAAGATCGCCATTAAATTGTAATTTTAGAATATGTATGATATAAAGGAAAATTTTGCCATTTCAATTTCATATTATATGTCTATAAACTATTATCAAATTTGGGGTGAAAAATCACACGGCAACAAGAGTCTCTCTATTTTGTTCTACTTTATTTGGGGTTCCATTTGTGCTTTGAATTTCTCTGGCCACTTTTTCCAAACCTTCTCACTATTTTACAACAAATAGAGAATGTCACGGTCCCGTTATAAAACCATTCCATCGGCATTTGTAACCGTTAGATCATTATGTGACGGTATCATCTCCCATAAAAGTATTGTATTTAGTTTCTGATGTGACACGAGACTTGCTCCGGGACTAGTTTCCAGCGTTACACATCATAGACCGACCGTAGAGCGCACTCTGTTTTTCACGAGATAAATAACTATTCTACACACACAAAAATCAATTCTTGAGGTGACCATTAAAGACTACTGTCAGCTCCTATTATCCATCCTCAAAACTATTTTCTTCACCATCTGCCTGCGCGCCTTTTCTTGGCCCTTTTATTCTCTCTCCCCTTCATTGTCATCTTCTCCTCAAAAAAGATTCTCACTTTCTCTCTCAATCTAACTCAAATACCATTTGCCCTCCTTTTGTTTTCCTTTTTCTGGTGTTTTT